ACCCCACACCCCACACAGCCCACCCACCCACCGACACGGCTTGCTTGTGTGCTGGTCATGCTTCAGGGCAGTTTTCAAGCCAACACCCATTGCTAAGCGTGTTCAGCCATGAACCACGCTATGGATTTGGTTCGTGTCGTTTGGCTTTGTTTGGGCTTGTATGGGTGAAGTTGTATTTTGTTTGAGGTTCTTATTGCCAAACATGTTTGTTCTTTTGTGTTTGTCTTGGTTGTCTAATGTGCCATCAAAGGAGGGGGCGCACCCTCAAAAAGGGGGGGGTACCCTCCGTGTGCAGCCCCCAAGCCAACATCCCAACAGCCAGCCATCTCTGAGGTGGAGCTCAAAAGTTCGCACCTGGAAGCCCTTGAAACCGTCAGCGCCCCAGGTGCGGACGTTGAAATTCGGCACTTGGGTGGCTCGTTTGTTCTTGAGTTGGGGTTGATTTAAAGGGAACCAACAAGGAAGACCGATGCCATTTTTCGGGGTCCTCCAACAAAAAAGAAACAATCCATGGGCTGATTGCAGGGATATTGCTTAAGTTGAAGTTTCACATCGACCTTTCGAGAGAGAGAGGGAGCGAGAGGGGGAGAGAGAGATCGAGAGAGACAGAGAGACCGTCGTGATATGGGAAGATTGGGGCTTGACCCAAAGGATTGGAACCTTGTCCTGGGATTGATGCTTTGTCATGGAGAGTCCCTATGAGCTTCTTGCCATACTATGGGATCACTGAGGCTTTGGAGGTTGGTCTGAGCCGGTAGGGATTGATCTGGCTGTGGAGCTTGAAGTTTCAGCCTGTGATTCAGTTAATTTTCTTGGAGGACTGCAAAACAAAGTGTTTGCTGTACCAGGGATTGGGAAGGCTGGGCACTATTGGGATAGCTGCCTGCTTGATTGGACATGTCAATCAGATTATGAGCTGGCAAACTGACTTGAGCTCCTGCTGAGCTTCCAAAGTGTCCCCAAAACGGAACCCAGGCACCGAGTTCAAACCCTAAGATACGGCACTGTAGATCTTCTCGCCCAGAATTGCATTCAAGGCAGCCTGAAAGTACCCCAGATTTTTCAGCTAAGGTTAAGAATTGCTGCCAAACTTTCAGGTTAAGAACCGCTTGGCGACCTGAAAGTACCCCAGTTTCGGCTCAGGCGCTCCAAGCCGTCCATCTCCGCTGAGCTGCCCAAGGCGGGATGACACCGGGGCCATGGGGCTGAATGGCGCGGAGAATGCTTTTTTGACCATGAAACCCAGCTGAAGAACGGGTACCATCAAAAAAAGCTTTTGCCGGGAAAGCAGTTCGAGGTTTAGCATTGGGGACATGGTCTATCAGCTAACCTTTTTGGGGGTAAGCCAGGCTTCGTACCAAAAGTGTTCGAAGCAACGATGGTGAATTCCTTGGCTGGCTTGTCCCGCGCAGTCATGATGATCATGATGATGATGATGATGAGGATGATGATGATCGAATCTGTAGAACAGAAGTTACGATTTGCTATTTCAACAAGCACAGCAAGGGTTTTTCAATCCCAGAATCGGGCGAGGGAGACACTAGGTTGAGACCGTAACATTGGCAGACTTTCTCAAACAGGTGGACCCTCTTTTTGGTTGGTATGGCTCGTTTTGTGGGAGTTGGTACCCCCTTCTGGATGTGAAAGGGAAACCGAAAGGAAACCACGTAAAGGGAAAGCCAACCATTTTCGGAGACGACTCTTTTGAGACGCCTCAATCATGCTGGCGCCTTGTCTCCTTGTGACTTCGCAGGGGCAGGGTCGTTTACGCGTGGCCGCGCCAGGGCCCAAGTCAATCGTAGTATATGGTGCGCCCAACAGGGCCTTGAAGAGACACTTTATTTTTATTTTTATTTGTGTTTATGTATATGCACAGTGGACATGTCGTGAATCCATGTATTTCGAGAGGGACGATGCCACGTATAGACGGGGTGTTGAGGTTTGCGAGAGAGAGAGAGAGAGGGAGCAAAGTGACGGGGGAGCTTGAAGTATTGCCCATCGCGGGCACCAGGGATCGCTCTCTACTGCCTCCCTTGTACAATGCCAAAAGGGCCATCGCCTTGCGGAATCCAGCGAATCGGACTGGGTGAGTTTTATGTCCAGTGCCCTCAAATTCCCACTTTGATGTTTACTATAGTATTTCATCAGAATACCCATGTAAACATGCCATTAGTATAAACACGATGTTTACTACTCATACTTCAAGCAAGGTTTGTAATGGGATCCGCACATGTTTCCCTCCAACACATCAGACCCTAGGTGAATTGACCTTCCAGCGGCCAAGAAACATACTCCAATCCAAGCTTGAAGTCAAGAATCAGCTGTGCCTCAAAAGCAAACCCCTATTGCCACTTATTAGGCAGCTGCATTCCGTGCTTTGGTCTTGAAATTCAACATTTACAACGGCTCGGGTTGCCATCGCTGCTTTCGGAAATCACAAGATTGGCGCCTAAGTGTTGGTGAGGAACACTTCACGGGTAAACATGGCATCTAACGGGTAATAACGCATTTCACACAAATTGCATGGGTATTTCACGAAATTTCACGCGTGCTGTTTTCGGGGCTGCAGATTGGACTCCACCAAAAAAGTATATTGGCCCCAGCACACAGAATAATAGCACTGCAAGGTCAGCAACAAAGTCCTCAGGTCAATCAGCGCGAGCTTCGGCCTGCCAGTTCCCGACTAAATTTGAGAGACCCTGAGGGGGATGCCCTACAATGATCTGATGAATTCAGGAAGCATCCTCAGACCAAACAATCGCGTGAGGAGTGTCCTTCAAATCATGGAGCTTTGCTGGAAACCATGCTGCAGATACAAATTACAGCTCCAAAGTCATGATAAAGCTGAAAAGTCAGAGAATAAGTTGTTGGGATGTAAGTAAACGCTGCATTAGGGTAATCATGGTACTTGTTAATTAAACTCAGTCCTTCCAACATTCGAAGTTAAACTTCAACGTTGAAGATGAGGGAGTGTGTGTTTGGAGAGGCATGTATTCTCCGGACTTGTGCGGATTTCTCAGGTCGCACTCATCAGACCGGCTTCGACCAGATGCGGAGCTGCTGCAGGCGCGAGCCTATCCGCCAAGCAACTTCCAAGTCTTCGAGCGCTGATGTGAGATGTGGGTGTCTCTTCAAAACGAAAGAAATAAATGAGCAATGATTTTGGCGTTTCAAGGCGCTCCCCAGCTGGGAGTCTCTTAATGTTGGATTTGATTTTTCTTCTTTGGAGTCGTCGTGTTGCTGGGTTTCGAAGGGAAACCCAAAGGAACCGTTCCGCTGTGCAACCGAACCCAATTCCTAAGCCGCAGGAGGGCTTCTTACCCGGGGCCATGTCGAGCCCGTCGAGGCAGGTTGGCCAGCGAGAGGTGGCCCTTTTAGATGGGTAAAAACGCCACCGGCTTTGGGATGGTTTTTTATTCGGTGTTTTCTCGACAAGGTCATTGCGATTGAGAGGCTTGCAGTGTGTCATGGGGAGGGAGGGGAGGGCGGAGCCCAAATAAGTCCTTGATAAGGCCAGAGGGTCGTGTTTGGGCTCCATGAGTGTTTCGAGGTGTCAGCGATGTTGATGCTTAGGTGGCAAGACAGTAAACTTCCGCAGGCCGGCGCCCCGTTAGTCAGCGCAGACGTAGCCACGGAGGTCCCACTATGAGTTGGTCAGTGCAGTTGGTTGTCATCAGTCATCAGCCCCCTCCCCCCCTCCCCCCCCCCCTCGCAGTTCCAACACTGGCATCGGCATGTCATGCTTTTCCCGGCAAACTTTGACTTCTTTGGCACAACACACGACAAGTCTATGACGACTATGCGGATTCCGAGCTTGTGAGATGAGATGCCTGGTTCATCCGGCTGTCTGAAAGCCCAGGCAACGGAGCGAGGCGAGCAATCGCAGGTGTTGTGCGAGTCTCGAGACGAGATCTCAATTGGATGCGATGCTTCTGTGGTACTTCTCAAGTCAAGAGGTTTGAAAGAGGAATGTTGTTGAAACATGAGAAAGAGAGGAATGTTGTTGAACCATGTTTCCTGTTGTGGTACTTCCCAACCAAGCTTTGAACATATTTTGCTCGAAGCCCGCGGCTGGCCTTGCTAAGTAATCGAAGTGGCAGGCGAGGACAGAGTGCCCACGCCTTCGACGGGGAGATCAGGCGATCTCAAGATGTGGTCAAAATGAAACCGCCAGGAATCGGACCGCCATGGCAATGGGTCTGATTTCATTTGAATCACTTTGAGACCATTTGGGTGTGGGTCAATATTAAATGACCAGGGGACCGCAGATTTTAGTCCGTGTTTCCATGTACTAGGGCTAGCCATTTGGGGTACCCATTTTTGACCCACACCCATGTGCTTTGATCAGATGCCATGAGCGTCAAACAAACTTGTGCTTGGAATCTTTCACTGCTTGTGCTGTTGTGGTCCGTGCTGTGAAGAAGTTCCTGCGGCTCAAGCATCAGACATCGCAGCGAGTTTGCCAGCTGCACAATCCGAGACTTTCCACTGGGCACCTGGTTGGATTACAGGGCGCTCTTTTGATCACCACATGCAGAAAGAACTGGGAATGGCCTGGAGGGAAATGGGTGTTTCTGGAAAGTAGGGTCCAATATCTTCAGGTTTCTTGTGGCTTCCCGAAACCCATGCAAAAAGAGACCCTATTTGGAGACCTCCCCAAATCTTTAAGTAAAGCTTGCAATTTGCTGTGCTGTTCTCCCAGGCCTAGAAGCATGTTTGATACTTCCCTTTGCTTAAGAGTATTTTTTAATTTGCCCTGTTGGTTTTAAAAAGAATCTATCAGTATTGGAAATATTTTATTTTGGAAATATTTCATTTTTGTTCCAGGGGCTTAAGCAAATGGAAGGATAGGTTTAAACCGGCGTCGACCGCCACATTTCAGCCACAAGCGATGACTTGAATCTCCATGCGCAACTATGTACTCTGGGTAGGCTCTCCAGGATTTGGCAACGAGAAAGCCTACAACGCAAGCAATACAAAAGGGGGGAACCTGTGGAGTTGCCTGAGGGCACTTGGCTTGCCAATTGATTGAATCCTGTGACCAGGAACAACGTTTGCGTATCCTTCCAGCCATGAAGAGTATACCAGCGGAGACGCCCAACGCGCCGACGCTTCTGCGCTACGCGGCAATTTGCTTGCCGCTCTTTGGAGAGCAGCGACTGGGCGAAGTGGAGTGCACGGATGCTGGGTTGTACCGCAAAAAGAAATGGAGCCTGCTGAAAAGTGAACAGTGTTTCTACGCTAGGCGGTAGTATGGGGGCAGTGTCGAAAGGATCCCAAAGTCAATTTGTCGAAAGGCTTGCTTGTGTTGCAATTGGCTAAATTGATGGAAGAAACGCTCGGTGAGTTTCGTGGCAACTCAGCGCAACCTGAAGCCAATGAGCAGTCGCGAAAGGAAACCCAGGCCGCAGGTGGACGATTGATGTTTGGTGGTGCTATTTTCATTTCTTAGCCCAAGGACTGAAATGGTCAATAGGGGTGAGACTCATAGGAGGTGTCTCTCATGTTTTGTTTTTCTGCACAGCTGTGGGTGTTGGAGGACTCAAGGAGTTCAAGATTCAAGGTATCCCGGCGGGTGCGTTCAACCGTAGGTGAAGATGGTACACTGGAATTGAGAGTGTGGGGCTTGTGTTTGCAAGCAGTGGGATGGGCAGAGATACGAAGCATTCTCTTGAGATACCAGTGGTCTCGGATCCTGTGTGCGAGGTTTCTGTCAGCCATGCCCTCAGCAGTGCTACCAGCCATGCGGATGGACGAGAGCCTCTCGTTGGATGACGAAATGATCACGGCAGTGCTGGCCAGTGGCATGTTGATCAATGGATTGGGCAAGCTCTTTGGTGGTGTGCTCATCGACAGGCGTGAGCTTGCACGCATGGTTGGAGCTTTTGATCAGAAGGTTTAAAAGGGAAAACCACCATTTTGGTGGAAGCGCTCATCAACTTTCTCCCATTGTTTCTTGAAGCTGCACCTGCATAAGAAAGCAGCCTGGCAGACGAATGGGGAGAGGGGTCGTGCAGGATGGGCGTCCTTCATGCTTTTTCCCGAACCTTCCTTCCCCTCTGCCTTCCCCCCGCCTATTTCTCGGGGACCCCAAACAATCCAAGAAATGGCATTGGTGTCCTCTTGGTTTCCCTTTAAACCCGGTTGCAAAACCCTTCGCCTCCAAAAATACTTTTGACCCACAACCTCCCTGCTCTCTCAGCTTTCCTTTGTTGGTACTGTGGCTGGACAAACTCCATTTTGCACCACCGTTCAGAAACCTTGGTGTTTGATTCGATTTGACCAGTTCCAATAAATACCAACCAGCCTTATGGTTTCACCAGCTTCACCCATGGCTTCAAAGGCGCCTTTCTTTTTTTCCGCTTTTTCTCATTTTTTAAATATTTTTCTTTTCTTTTTTCGGTGGAGTTCCAAACAGGGCCGAACCCTTCGCCTCGGGCAGGTATGGCGCCCGGAGCTTCCTGTCGTGGTCCATGCTGCTGATGGCGGCGGCTGCCCTGGGCTTCGCGCTGGGCCGAGACCTCGCGGCGCCGCTGCTGGGCTTCGTCTTCCTGAAGCTCTGCGCCGCCGGAGGCGGAGCGCGCGGGGGGAGGGGGGGAGCACAGGAGCACGGGAGCCGGTTGCCCCAGTGGTTTTATTGGGTGGCTTCCGTTTTTCGGGGGGGGGGGGGTGGACCCAGTTGCCCCCCAGTGGATGTGGCTTCCTCTTTTGGTTCCTTCCTTTTGTTGAGGAAGGGTTCCCCCTTAAAGTCAACCAATTCTTCCTTTCTCCTTTTTTCAACTGTTTTTTTTGGGGGGACGGTTTCCCCTTGAAGTCGACCTACCAAAAAAGGATGCCGATTCTTTTTCCCATGGCCATTGGGCATCTGAGTGTGGGGGGAGAGAAGAACCACCAGGATTTTGTAAGGTGAAGGGTATGTGTTTTCACAGGTTGGGTGTGTGTTTGATGGGAAGTTTTTCGTTGGCTGTTTCATCCTCCAACATCTCCAAGCATCTGGCCTAATTAGCCTGCAGTTTCTTGACGGGAAGACGCTTGCTTGCTTGCTTGGCTGGCTGGCTGGCTTGGAGGGAGGTAGGGCTTGAGATAGGGAACCGGGAAGCAGGCAACAGGAAGATGGATGACGATCATGCAGCGAGACTGGGAGGGAGGTAGGGCAGAGGCAGTTATGGGCCTTGGTTTGAACATGACATAACATGATCTTCCTTATGGATGACTGAGACCTATCCAACACAGGGACCGGGATACCCCTTTTCTCTTTCCTCGTGTGTTCAGCTGGTTCCCAGCAAAAGCGGCCAACCAACAATAGACCAAGCCCTCCCCACAGCCCCGTATCGGTTTCCTGTGGTGATATTGTGGGGCATTCGCACGCAACTCCACGCGGACCGGAGACAAGAACTCGCCAAGTGACGAAATGCAAAGGGCTCCAATTTCGGACGCCAGTATACGCCAGTTCTTTTCCCTTTTCATGGGGGTCAGGCAACAAGAGTGCACCCCCTCTAAATCGCCGGATGTCTTTGCGGTTCCCTACTTCGGGTTCTCATAAGCCGGACAAACCTCGGCAGCCTTCCCAGAAGGTCCACGGGTAAACGCGGCCGCCCGGCGTCCCGCGCCAGGCTGGCTCTGTGCGTGCAAACTCATGGAGCAACACTTCCCCCGCGAGACCTGGAGCTGGTGCTTCGCAGTGGTGGGCGTTGGCTCGCGCTGCGGCGCCGTGCTGGCCAGGCCGGAGGGGTTAGGCCAAACCGGAGGCTGCGGATGCTCGGGGTGGATGTTTGGGAGAACCCTGGGCGTTCGGCGCAAAGGGGAAACTGCAGACAAGCCCACCTGTTCTCGCCAGTTGTTTTTTTTTTGCTGGGGGTGTGATAAAACTTATTTGGAGAGATCCAAATATCAAGCAACATGGGCTTCCTTGTTCTTTGCCTGCTGCAAATTTTCCAGCTGGGTTCAAGTAGGAGCAGTTATGGACAATGTGGGCCGCGGTGTGGGTCGGCTTTCATTTTCGCCGAGATGTGAAGCTCTGCGTTCTCGCCGCGACATTTGATGTTTCTTCACCCAAGACTGCAACAGTTTCCTTACCGTGAACTAGGCCGAGCAATCCACCTGAACCCTTGAAAGCAAAGCGGAACAAGTCAAGTCCACGCCAATGTCAGCTTTTAGGGTATAGAGTCCTGTACTTGGTCTGTGCTTGTCAGACGCTGTCCAGCATACCGTTTCTGGTTTGAATCACACACGTGTTTGACCAAAATCCACACATACATGCCGACTACTAATCGGAACCACACAGCGAATACTCGAATTGTAGCACCTTGACAGTCGTATACGGGACTGTACTTTTGTTCGACATCAGTTGCAAGGGGTAGGCGCAACCCGCGGGGCTTGTGAACACCCCACCCGCCACACCGCCAAAGGATTGAGCAACAACTCGCAGCGTCAGAAACTAGCGAAGTCTCAGTGCCCAACCCAACCAAGACTGTCAACAGTTGTCAAGTGCTTTGTTTGCTTGCTTGATTTGATTCGCATCGTCAGAGACCTCTGAGGTTGGCAATCGCGATACCAAGTCTAGATGTTATGGGCATTACTTTCAATCGGGACACCCTCCAAATGTTTTGCGGACATGCCTTTGGAGATTAGACAGCAATGTTGCTCATTTCTGAAAGAGACCGGGCAGTGTTTTCTGAGCTTTGCAGCGCTAAAACTACATCCCAGGGAGCACCCCTTCTGTTCTGAAAGGGGTGAATCACGAGTTGGGCAGCTTTAGGATTGTGCTTTGCGAGGCTGGCAATCGCCTTAATGCCTTGGCTCTTCAGAATTGTCCTTGGTGTTCCGGAGGGCAACCATCAAAGAGCCTCGTTTGCGACTGAGAATCAGCGGTTGTTTTTTCAGCGCGATCCAAGAGCCTTGAAATACGCATGAGAATCACGAGAAGAGCACCACCCCGGCTCGTGGTTTTCGGATGGTCTTTATAGTGATGCTGAGATATCAGAAGCTACCCGCGCATTTATCATTGCCAAGGTCGTGTTGGCTTTTAGGTTTTAGGGTGTCTAGTTTGTTTGTTATTTATTGTTTTGCCTATTTAATGTATTTGTTCATTTAATTTATTTGTTTATTGGGGGGAGCCGTAAGAAGAGACACTTGGCTTTTGAGCTCGGTTGGGCCATGGGAGTGCCGCATGCAACAGGCAACCCTTGGTGGATTCGGTTGGTTTGAAGTAATTATAAACCAGGGGCTTGACTCCCCAACCAATCCAACAACAAGAACCAGAAGTTCAACTAGGTCCCTCAGTAGTGCCCTTTGACCCCTTTTTTGGGGGCGGCTTCCCTTACTAAATTAGACAGGACAAAAATCGGGTACCAACTTATTCTAACTTCTCTACTGGAGGACCTTGTCAACTTCCCAAACCACAAATCATGGGCAAGCGACGATTTCCCTCGCAGGTTGGGACTTGGGGCTCTGCTGAAGAAGCTGGCATGGCGCCACGTGGCGATCATCACGGCAGCCTTTATGCTGCTGTCCCTCGGAGCGAAAAATTGGGCTGGCTCGACTTTTTGCTTGCTGATAGGGAATGACAAGGAGACCGGGTGTTGGGAATGAACCGGTTTGGGGATTCCCTTAAAGAAAACCGTAAGGGATTGTTTGTAGGGGTCATTCCCTATAATTCCTTGCTGAGAGCCAGTTTTAGACCCCATGGCGCAACGGTGTTCCCTTCAAACCAAGCCCAACAATGACACTCATTTGGCTAACGCCCCGCATGGGATGTTTGAGCTGTCACTGCTCGAGCACGTGCATTTGGATTCCCCACGCATAATCTATCCAGTCACATACGTAGGCGGACATACAGGCATGCAGGCGTACAGGCACACGGTTAAGGATAGTGCAGCATGAATTCATATTAGTACATAAGCATTCATGTCCATACGTGTAGACATACACATAGACAGGCATGAATGCATACATGAGGTCTAAACGTACATTTGGATTCACAATTGTTTGTCATAGGTGTCACGCTTCTTCTCAAGTTGAATGAGAGATTCCCCCAGACAGCAGGCTTTTGCTGACCTGCCGTCGCTTGCGAGGCTTCGGTACGCGTGCCTTGCTGTGATCCCGAGAGCATCTACTCGGAAAGAGAGCCAAGAGGCTTCAGAGATGTTGCCATGGTGGAAGCGAGCCTGTGCAATCCTGTGCAACACCAGCATGCTGCTTTATTTTGGAGTGGCGACTTGGCATCGAGCGCAGAATTCCGTCTATGTAGATGACCCGATTTTCTTGGTTGACCGAAGTTCCCAAGATGACCACCGATTTGTCCTGCAAGTGCCCGCCCTCAAGAAGACTCTGGCGATTGATGGAATTATTTGCAGGTTGCAGAAAATGAGCATGGCCAAACCTCCAATTTTTGAGCGACCTTTTTTTGTCGTTGCCAATCTTAAGGCATGGGCATCCTTCTAGACGGGCTTTGTTATACGTGCTCAAACCGATGAGAATAGAACATGATTTCAACCAACATGTTGGCTTCTTCCTCACCATCAGGTGTGATTCGGGTATGTATTCTTTTGTTGGTACTTTTTGGGGGATGGTGTTGAAGGTAAGCAATCGGCAAATCGCCCATTTTGTTGGTCCCCCTATTTTGACATAGACCCATTTCCGGCCAATTCGACAGTAATTCGACTGGTAATGTCCTATGATTTCCGGCAACCTGGCGAAACTCTTCGACCTCTGGAGAAAAAACCCTGGTGATCCGTGTTTCTTGTTGCCCATTTTGCGGGCTCCGTTTTCTTTTTGCTTCACAGATGGCCGGGGCCACCTGCCTGGCCGCGAGTCTGGATGACGACGTGGCGCTGATCTTGCAGGATGTCCTCCAGCTCGATGAAGCGGCGCCTCGATTTCTCGGCTCGCTAGATGCCGGCCGCCGGGCGCTTCCTGAGTTGAACGAGGAACCCGCACACAAGAGGTCCTGGACTCTGTACTGTTTGGGTTTGGACCATTTTAGTAGCAAATATCCTTTTTTTGATCTAGAGAATTTGAGTGGTAAATATAAAGCTCCAGCGCCCTTTTTCTTGGGCCCGTCCACTCAGGAAGTGAGATCCGGCTTTTTCGATCGATCGCCGAGCTGGCAAACCAAAAAACAACACAATGGATTGCCCTGGCAAATGGAGCCATTGACGATTTAACCTGCGGTCCCCTGCGAGTTCCCGGCTGGCCATGTTCTAGATGAGTTTGGGCCAACTCTAAACCAACAATGTTGTCCTCGGATGAAAGGCGTAGGACCGTACTCAGAGGCGGTTCCCTTTTGTTTTTGGGGGCATGTACTTTTATCATAGTGTATGTTATTTCCTGCCAATGTCCAATGCGACATTTGGCTCAAGCTTTTGCCCCTGGCAAACTAGTCATTGCTGTTACCGTCGCCATAGCGGTGCGGCATCGTGCATCGTCTTCTTCTTGTAAAAGGAGTGGCCGACAGCCGGTGGTGCCGTTCTACGGCGGGTTCGGGTCGAGGACGGTTTGGGGGGTTGCGCTCTTGGTTTGCTTTGCTTGCTCGCTGCGCTGCTGTGTTTGCCTGCTTGGTTTGCTGCTTTGTGCTTGCTTTCGGTTGTCTCTGCCCTTGCTGGGCTTCTTTACCTTGTTACAACTGGCACCCTGTTTTGGCTCGTGTTTGGCCAGCCGAGGGCACCGCTTTGCCCTTGGGACTGGGGGACTTAAACAATCTCTTCTTATGGTGGGATTGGGCCTGTTTATTCTCTCCCGAAACTCTGTTTCAAACCCTTTCGCAGGTTATCAGCCGTAGGATTCGTCCTCGGTTGGCACCGCGAACCCCATTTAATAACAACCCTGCAGGCGCCGTTTTCCATAGGCTACTGTAGGACTCATGGCGGGAATCACCGAGGATGGACCTCATGTGGCGACCGATGAGTGGGTTCTCGGCCAGGCCGGAATCTTGGACGTTGTGAATGACGACCTAGTGCCCGGACAGCCGATGTTTTCCGGTCCTGACTTTTTGTCGGACCACACTTTTTCAGAAGCAATGCCTTCAGAGAGATCCAGTGCTACTCGCACTGATGATCTATCGTCTAATGCCTCAAGAGCTAATCGCTCTCAGGGTCGTGGGTCTAATCGTCCTGGCCATGATGATTCCGTCTCAGGACGTGATGATGACGAGCCCGGTATTGCACCTGGAGCTCAATCCTCATCTTTCCCCGAGCTGATGAATATTGGTCAGTCCGAAATTCGTGACTCCCGAGGCAGCAGTAGACCTGTGCCAACCAGTAGCATAGCTTTTCAAGTGCTCGGTAATCCTGAACCTGGTACATCCAGTGGAGTTGCATTTGATGTTCATCTGTCGACCGAGTCCGGTGAGCTCGATTGGAGAGCCTCATGGCCCAACGACGGAAACATTTTTGGTATGGATTTTGCCGCATGGATGCCAGGGCCACCCGCCCCGTCATCTTTCCCGCAATTCCAAAGCCCAAAACGGGCTGCTGGAAGCGATGAATTCATGCTACCTTTGTCGATTGAGAATCTCAATCCTGACGTGGCCAGCCGTAACGTCAGGCCAAGGCCGTCGGTAAACCCGACCATGAGGAACATGTCTCCTCCCCCAGGACTTTCAGGATTTGAGAGCCCTAGGGAGCGTAATATCGTAGATAGATTGGATTTGCATCCCAGTCCTACTCCAAGCAAACGATCAAGGTCAAATTCGACTGGATCGCATAGGGCAAGGGGGATGGATCGGGAAACTGCCCACAGGGGTAACCCCAGTACGCGGGACTCAGGACGCGGTCGATCAGGTGACCCAGCGTCGATCATTGGTAGAGACCCGTTAAACGCGGACACACTCGTTAACGTGCTTGATGGGATCGAAGCATTCCAGGAGGAATTTAATAGGTCAAGTGGCTTGAACGCGCAAGGCGTTCGCCCTACGCCCAACGCGGCTTCCATTTTCGCCCTGGACGACGTGGACGGAGCTAATGTTCCGATAGAATCTGAGTCCATGATGGCATCAAGTTCTAGTCGCAATCATACCATCAGTAATGCGACTGATATTGAATCGATGTCTGAGTCTAGAGTGTCCAATGCGACCGACTTGAATGACATTGTTATTGCTAACTCGAGACCTGATGTTCCTATGCGAACGGATAGGCCTGTTGTTCCTAAACTGTCCGTGGCCAAAGGCCTGGGCATGACACAACCCTCTGCGGTTCGTGATGCTAGGAGATCTGCTCCGTATCAGAGTCAATCTCCTAATCGGAGTGAGTTCCCACGGCCATCAACAGCCGTACAGGATGATTTCAGAACTCCTCCGAGATCTAATCCAATTATGGTTGATTTGTCCACTCCTCGAGATCGCGGATCAGGATTTGGTCCTGCGAGTGAGGAGCAACCCAACGAGGTTGCTGATCTTGTAACAGCCCTTGAAAGAGGAAGAGTAGACTCTTCGGTAAGTGCGATCATTCATCGCCTGGTTGCTAAGGTCGAAGACCTTGGGCGTAGGAATGATAGAAGTGATCAATGCATCAAGCAGCTCTCCACTGAGGTTAACTCGTGGAGGGCCAAATACGACCAATGCGTCCATGTGAGTAGCACGTGTACGCAGGCTGCGAACACGGCCATGCAGCTGTCACAAGGGACTAAGGACATCGTGACCGAGCTTGGCCAGCGCGTCAAGATCGTTTCCAATCGCATGATAAGCATAGGCGATGCCCTAAATGAGCGAGCCAGCTATGATGATGTTGCTCGCTCCATCACCCAAGTTCAAACTGTTTTTGAATCTCTTTCTGATCGAGTAACCGGGCTCATAGCTCGTGTTGATGTGATCGAGAGATCTCTAGTGGAGAGCCAATCCAACCATCCTGCGATTGGTGGAGTAAACCTTAAAATCGAGGACCTGTCCACTAGGGTATGTCAGATTGATAGGATGATGCAGGATGTCGAACAATGCTGGACCAATAATAGGGACGGCATAAAGTGGGTTAAAGACCAACTTTATGAAACACAAGCCAACCTTGAGATAAAGTCAAGGGACTGCAAATCCTACACGGACAAGCAAAATACTCATAACATGGCCGTTTCGACTACGCTCAACAGTAAGCTCGAGACATGCTCGAGGTGCTGGGTAATACGGCCCAGAGAATTAACTCCCTCGAGTCAAGGCACTCGAGCCAGGCATCAAGTAGTGGATTGAACGATCGCACAGGAGGAAGGCGTGCCGCGTCCCGTACTCCGGATAAGCGGCCACCTCCACCTGGCCCTCCTGATGATGATCCTCCACCACCTCCTCCTCCAGATCGGCAAAGCCCAGGAGGAGGGGGGAAGAAGAGTGCTGCCGGTGGGAACCCTGGCGACCCTGGTAAACCCAGGTGTAAATACGTAGGTGATGGAAATAATCACCTCATGGCTGAGTTTCACTGCAAAGGATGCAGAGGTGATATTTGTGAGTATTGTTTCTCGTTCAAACAAAACTTGTGTGAAGAATGTTCCCGTAACGGACCCCGATGCGGCGTCTGTAGGGAGAGCTCGTTCCTGACCAAGGGAATTGAGTGTCAGTTTTGTAGGACCTACTACTGCACCAGACATTCTGCTGGGCAGGATGACTACAGGAGATTTGGATTTGTCCAGGGTCCCTGTTGTCTTGCGTGCCTTAGGGACGAAACTAGGAGAAGAAGGGATCCCGATGGTAACCGTGTCAGGAATAGATCTCCTGGAGGCGCACCTGAGACGAACCCGACGCGGTCGTACTCGCCGCCTCTGCGGCCACCCGTTGACAGATTCCGTGACACTCCCACTGGGGGTCAACCCAACGCGGCTGACCTTCAGAGCCCTCCGAAGGCTACGCAACCCGTGCCCCTGGATAAACGTGAAACCGGATATTATCCAGGATTTGATCCCAACGGTACAAGGCCGAAGGATCCTTCAGGCCTTGAGCCGCCGACCATGCGTGGCCCCGATCCTCCTGACAAGAACTGTCGGATGTGTGATCGGGATATTCCTGACCCCAGCAAAATTGGGGAATGTAAGATATGCATGAAAAGGGCATGTGAGATTTGCATTCCGAAGGCTACTCGCCTTTGTCCTGTATGTGCATTGTCAATCAGTAGTTCTCAGGTTCCACAGCATCTTTTCGGAACTGGTGGCGGCGGGTACAGTAGCCACCATGATCCGAACTGTACAGCTGCGACTAAGTGCATTCCCATAGACCTCCCGCCAGAGCCCGACGCGGCTGGGCTGAGGGTATGGATAGCCAATATGAAGGAAGCTGTTAGCAATGCCTACAGCTATGATGGACTTTACGTCATCAATTGGCTAACTGAAGTCGAGAAGGCAAAGACCTTTGATGAACTGGATGGGGAATGTAAATACCACATCCTTGAAGCCAGGTTCAATGCAGCCATTCGGAAGTGCATCAAGACTGTTGCAATTATCGATAAGATTAATCGTCTCACCGAAGCCGCTCAACGCTCCAACAATCGCATCAAGAGTAGGCAGATCCTGTGGCTCTTATACGACCACTTAAGGACTGCGAATATCGGAGAGCAATCGTTCAGGATAATTGAGCTCTCAAACTTGCGATGCAGTGTTTCATCTTTCTATACTGAAGAGGAGCGACTTGAAAGGTTCATCGCGAAGTGGGATCACATCCTTGCGGGTCTCGATGAACCGCTGACCGAGCAGGTAAAGCGGTCGCTATTCAGTGAGAAGGTTAGACACCTCAACTGTTTGGCTCATGATATCAGGGAATGGGATAGGAACATATCCAACCCTGATGTTTGTAGCTATGAATGGCTTCGTGCTCGTTGTAAGAACGAAATTGACCGCTGGAGGGTTCGTAAGAATCAAGTCAATATGCACAAAGACTTTTACGAACGATCTCAGTCCAGGG